CTTTATCTCAATTCAAAGATTTTTTCCTTTACTTTTGCATCAAAATGTAGGAGGTAAATCAAATAGATTATCAAGGGTATGACCTTTATTGAAGAAATCTGTACATCAAAAAAAAGGAAAAAAAAATCTTGAGGCAGATATACAGGTGTGGATGAAGGACTGACTTGGAGAAGGAGAGGTACAGAGGATTGGAAAAAAGAGGAACTTGCAAAAGGAGGAGAAAGTGGCTGGATAAAGAGAGAGGGTAAAGTGAAGGGTGCACGAAGGATGTGACTGATACTAGAGAAGAGGAGACTGCAAGACGAGGAAAGAGGCAGAGGTGAAACAAAACAGCTGGCAGTAGTTATGCCCTTGTTCCTCTCACATGAAGCTCCTGCTCCCCTCCCATCTTCCCTGAAAAAGCTAAATAACACAAGAAATAACAATGATCTTTACATGTTATTCTGAGAATAAAATTCTCATATAATAGCAATAATAGCCTTGATACTCAAATACACAGATCACATTCATGACATATTGGACTGAAATTATATTCATTGTAACATATCATAGTGCCCAATTTTTGTAACATCATTATGAATAGTTGTTGATTTATACTAATTTCCTCACCAGCAAACTCACATGCCTAAGTTAACAATGTTGATTAGCATTTGATATACAGTCATTTAATTTATCCATCTCTTTCATTACAAGAAATCCTGGCCCATTATTCATATCCATCTCCTCCTTATGAATAAAATGATAGGTGAATGAACCACAATAGTATTAATTCAAAGGGCAAGAGAGAAAAAATATATGTATATATATTTATATCATCCCTCCCCCCTTTAGGAAAAGAAATCCTTAATGCAACATCCTATAAACAGGACTATTATGGTTTAGTACACAAAGTCACGAAGGTGGAATATAACACATACAACTATCCCCTAAGAGGAAAATGAACTGCTATTTATATATTGGTACTACTATCTTACAAGAAAATAAAACAAGTCAGTAGTGTTTTATCTTCTTTTATCGTTTTTATTTTACAATTTCATTTTCTTTGTTTTTTTTTCAATGATTTTTCTTTCTCGTAATTCCTGAAAAATAAACTTATCTGCCATATGCGGCTATTATCATTATAGGTATAAAATACAGTTCAATACTACGTTGAGTACATGCTAGGATGCTCCGTAACAACAGTGTTGGGTCCCTCTAGTATCATGCAATTGTACAAGACAAAGAGTTGTGTTTGGTCGTCACAACTCAAAGATATCAAAAAGATTATTTCTGCAATTTTGAGGACATAAGACTGTTGCTGTTTGAATGGTTGATTGCACAAGTTGAAAATAACATAGAAAAAAGACAAACATTCATACTCAGCATTTACACATTTTCATACAATATTACCTAATGTCTGTATTGAGTGATGTGGACTAATATACTCCAAATAAATAATTTGCAATGCTGATTTTTTAATTATTATTATTTTTCTTCTTTTTCCCCTTTTTACAAAAAATATCTAAACCAATTTGACCGAGTCCACAATCAGTAAGACAACACAAAAGAATTTACAGTCCTGTTTATTGGTAGAAATGATATTAGAAGACATAAGCACTTTTACTTGACAAAAGCCCCATTCAAGATCAGCTTGCAAATGACAACAACTGCCATCATATCCTTTGTGCTAGCAGCTTCACTTTCACAAGTAGGAGCCACCACCACCAAAGTACTGTGTGATAACTGTTTCCACCATAACATTAGACGTAACAGTTGCCAGCAACATTATACCTGTAATACTAGTCATTAGCATAAAAATGAAGTCTCCTGCCATATGATTATGATTTTATTATATGAAAAAGAAAAAAAAAGTATATATATACAACCAGGTTATGAGCATGAATATGGTAATAATTTAAAAAATTATGAGGTATGATTTCTAGATTTTTAAAGGAAGGTTAAGGTTTGTGGCATTCAATGAATGGACTCCATGAAAAAAAAAGTAAGGGTAACAAGCCTAGAAAAGGCCCTTTTTTCAAGAATACTGCATAACTAACAAGTTGCAACCTTAAATATGCTCACTTTTCACAACCAGCAAGTCTTACTTTCATCAATTCTTACTCTTTCTCTAACGTACTCTCATATTTCTAAATAAGAAAAACCTGGTAATATCTGCTTACTATTCCAAAGTAGCACCCACACTTACTATACTACAACCAGAAACAAAGAAACCTTTCACCTAAAATTTGGTCCATATCACAATTATTACAGTGATATACACAACAATATTAAACTAACTCACGCACACTCATTCAAAACAAGCAAGCATGTAAGCAAGCGAGCAAAAGGCAAAATTTCTCCTACAATTTCTATAATCATACAAACAATAAGCAATTGGAACTTTACAACAGTGTCTTGCCTGCCTGTTTAAACTCAGGGTGCTTGGTTGTTACCAAGATAAATATATAAATGATTAAGCCTTATCCTTTTTTTTCAAAATGGCACTCATCTCGTATCTCTTTTTCATAAATTTGGGTAAAGATTTGGGTAAAATGTCAAAAATTCTCCAAATTAATCCTGCTACAACTATTTGTTGAAATACAATAACCTGTGTTAATTACTAGTTCCCTTTACCCCTAGCCTTGTGGCAAAAAGACAGCTTTGTAAAAGTAGTTAATTACCAGATATAAATGAGATGTTCTACTGTGCATATGATATTGATACTACTATATAGTTTGAGTGGAAATGCAATTTTACACACAAGTTAACAAGAAGAGTTAACAATGTTCTATTTCATCAAATTCACAGGCATATAAGAGACAATTATTCTAACCAATTTCAACAACTGAATAGTAGAGAGGCATGGAACTTCTCTGCCCACCCCCATCTAAAACTGAATTAATAAATATAAGAAACATTAAAAACAAATTGGGGTGAGGGGGTGGCAAAAAGTGCAAAACAATTCTGAATCTTGCCTTCCAGTTATCTAAATGCTTTGCACTTCTCACACAAAAAAAAATATAGACAAAATTTTCATTACCACTGGTTCCATTATGCTAAAGTAGACAATTACAGACTTGTACAGCATAAGACATAACACTGCTCCTAACACTACCACCACAGCACACCTAACTCAATCAACCATTCACATGAGGGATGAGTATCATGATAAATAAGGTATGTAACCACTAACATAGGTCTCCAGTTCAACAATATACATAATGATAATTGATGGATATTTTTTTCCTGTAAGTTTCATTTAGAAAGAATACATACACATGGTAATGTGGACACAAAGCTTTGTGAGCATAACACTTATGTATGAGTACTGATAGGCAGGCAGAAGAGGAGTGAGGGAGGAGAGGGAGGGGTGAGAGGGAAGGAGGGAGGAGAGGGAAGGAAGAAAGGGAGGAGAGGGAAGGAAGAGAGGGAGGAGTGAGAGGGTTAGAGGGAGGAGAGGGAAGGAAGAGAGGGTTAGAGGGAGGAGAGGGAAGGAAGAGAGAGAGGAGTGAGAGGGTTAGAAGGTGAGAGAAGAGGAGGGAGGAGGGGAGGAGGAAAGCAGGGCAACAAGCAAGAGAAAGAGAAGGAAAAAGAGGGGAAGAAAGGAAAAGTGGGGGAAGAGGAAAAGAAAATAACAGAGTAGGAAAATGCAAATTAATGAAGTGGATATTGGATATATTCAAAAGATATGATGGAATGCAATGTGATATGGGATAGGTGAATTACCTTAAAAGTGAGACAATATAATTTGTGAATGTTAGAGTGTAAGTCTGCAAAAAGATGGGTGTAAATGTGGCAGTTGAGCTAGTCAGCACACAAAGCACACACGAGGGTGAGGGGAGGGAGGGAGAGGAGGGTGAGGGAGAGGGGAGAAGAGGGAGAGGGAGAGGGAGAGGGAGAGGGAGAGGGAGAGAGGGAGGGGAGAGGGAGAGGGAGAGGGAGAGGGAGAGAGAGGAGAGGAGAGAGAGAGAGAGAGAGAGAGAGAGAGAGAGAGAGAGAGAGAGAGAGAGAGAGAGAGAGAGAGAGAGAGAGAGAGAGAGGAGAGAGAGGAGAGAGAAGAGAGAGAGGAGAGAGAGGAGAGAGAGAGGGAGAGAGAGGGAGAGAGAGGGAGAGAGAGAGGAGAGGGAGAGAGAGAGAGGAGAGAGAGAGAGAGAGGAGAGAGAGAGAGAGAGAGAGAGAGAGAGAGAGAGAGAGAGAGAGAGAGAGAGAGAGGAGAGAGAGAGAGAGAGAGAGAGAGAGAGGAGAGAGAGGCAGAGAGAGGAGAGAGAAGGGGAGAGAGAGAGAGGAGAGGGAGAGAGAGAGAGAGAGAAGAGAGAGGGAGAGAGAAGAGAGGGGAGAGAGGAGAGAGAGAGAAGGAGAGAGGCAGAGAGAGGAGAGGGGAGAGAGAGAGAGGAGAGAGAGGAGAGAGCAGAGAGAGGAGGCAGAGAGAGGGAGAGAGAGAGAGAGAGGGAGAGAGGGAGAGAGAGGAGGGAGAGAGAGAGAAGAGAGAGAGAGAGAGAGAGAGAGAGAGAGAGAGAGAGAGAGAGAGAGAGAGAGAGAGAGAGAGAGAGAGAGAGAGAGGAGAGAGAGAGTGAGAGAGTGAGAGAGTGAGAGGAAGAGAGTGAGTGATGAGAGAGTGAGTGGTGAGTGAGTGAGTGAGTGAGTGAGTGAGTGATGAGTGAGTGTGTGTGTGTGTGTGTGTGTGTGTGTGTGTGTGTGTGTGTGTGTGTGTGTGTGTGTGTGTGTGTGTGTGTGTGTGTGTGTGTGTGTGTGTGTGTGTGTCTTACTAAAGATGTGTGTGTTGGGTGTGTTATGTGAGAAAATGTGACAATAAGTGTGTGAATGAGTACAAGTGAGGGTGTGAATGACTGTATGCATTAGTGTTATTTAAGTGTGAGAATTAGCAATAGAGTATAAGTGAGTGTGAGTCAGCCTGTGAGTGTGTGAGTGTGTATGAGTGTGTGTGTGTGTGTGTGTGTGTGTGTGTGTGTGTGTGTGTGTGTGTGTGTGTGTGTGTGTGTGTGTGTGTGTGTGTGTGTGTGTGTGTGTGTGTGTGTGTGTGTGTGTGTGTGTGTGGTGTGTGTGTGTGTGTGTAAAAGTGAGTGTGAGTGTGTGAAAGTGAGTGTGAGTGTGAGTGTGTGTGAAAATGAGTGTATACATATCCAAGAGAGAGAGAGAGTGAGTGTCTATGCATATTTATGATTTTTTGTTTTATATATTCATATATAGACCCAGTTATTGAGCATGACAACTAAACAAAAGTCCAGTCACTCGTAAAGAGCAAAATTTAAAATCAGAAAGTTGCTACTGCCTGCTATTAGTATTAATTGGGATATGACCTTCTCATCATGACCCTTAAAATTATGATACCCAGCACAAATATACTATATTTGGCTTATCAACATCTCGTAAACCAATCTAAAATGATAAAAAAACATACATCATAATAAAAAATAATAAATAAATAAAATAAATATTGTAATCAACCATGCCTTTTTACCATTGATTGAATGATATATGCGTACACACTAAGATTAGCGGAATGAATAGTACTACATTAAAAGTGTCCCGGCTGATATACTAATTACATGATTATTTTATTGGAGAACACTGAAGTATAGAATTTTTTTGGCGAACTTAATTTTCCTATGAATGAATGGCTAGAAGTCATTCATACCAAGCATTACAATGTAAGGCTGTTGTGTTCAATTACAGTGTTTTAAAAAAGGTTTCACTGATATTTACCACTTTCCAAACTGAAATGCTTGTAAGTGCTCATTACTGTAACAGTACACACCATCAAGGTCAATTATCTCATCAAATACTTAGTATTCAACATCACTGTGTTAATTATCAATATCATGATCTTGAGCACTAGCAGGTGGCATGGTGAATTTATAGCAGTGAAAATAAGATTTGTATCTTATAATAAAATGAAAAATCCCAGAAAAAATAGATATATTAACCCTGATATTAACTGCTATGTCCTTTGCCTTTAGAAACTCACTACCAATTAGTTACAGTACTTTCTTATTTATATAAATAGGCATATGATGCCTTTTACTAATGTCCCAGCTCCTCATACAAGCTGTTTTTTTGTTTTTGTTTTTGTTGTTTTTTTACCGTTTTATCTATCTATTTCTCATTTTTTTGCACTTTTGTCCCATTGTGATACCAACATTCAACCACTAAACCATCAAGCTTAAGTCTCTGAAAGCATGATCATGTTGTTGGGCACAATTTCAGGTTACAATCAGAACCACTACTTAAAGACTTCTGGTTACAATTTCATTTGTGAATGAATTAATATATGATGAAAAGTCATTAAAAACAAAGTCTGGAGAAAAGTTATGTTCCACTTGGAGGAACATACATATTGGTAAAGGAAGTATATCTATATATAGTATAAAAGAACCAAATGTGTAACCTTTGCCAGAAGAAAATAAAATAAAATTCCTCCTTGAATGAGACAAGACCAAGTCAACAGATGCAGACGACCTTTTCATTCCTCGTACCCTTACTCATTTACCAAGGCTCGGATATAACCACTTAAACTGCCAACATCTGATTTCAGGCTCCTAGAATGAACCAAAGAGTTACTTGGGCAATAATAATCTTTCCCACTGAATGTATCACTCTACAAAAATGTGTGATGTATCATCCATTACTTCATCAACCTTTAAATGTTCCTCATTTTCCTTTTCCACTGCACATTACAGCACATTCCTCCACCTTCAGCATGGTTCACTTGAAGTGAATTATGAAATTGTTTCGTGTGGCTGCAAGTTGAGGAGGTTCAGGGGTGAGGACATCAGGAAGTTCAATGCTTGAGAGCCTCTGTAAAAAATTACAAAACAAGTGAGTTGCTTCTGTGCTTGCCTCCAAGCAAAATTCTGTAGCATGTGAATCTACAGTGGTTTAGATAGAAGGAAAACAAAATTGTTAATAATTTGAAGCATCATATTGTCAATTATAATTATTCATGTAATCTGGAAATGACTGGCTATCACCACTGTCACATACGTGGTACACAATTACCAACAAATAAATGATACGATATAACCTCAAAGTTTATCATTGTGGTTTGAATATTAGTAAATCTTACTTTAAAGGCAGGGTGACAAAAAAATAACATGAAGTACACAGCCCTTTACCAAACATAGTTAAGCATATATGAATACTGTCATTCTATTGACCTTAAATATAAAATGAAAAACAGAAAAAATAAATAAAAAGCAAACAGGATTTACTAAAATCCCAAAAGGTAACACTGCATTCTAAGTATGTTTATCCCTGGTAGTCCCTATCAGAGGGTGCTTTCGATGACAAAAACTTCAGTGCTAACAGGATACGTATATGTAATTACCATGAAATATTGATAAACTGTTTAAAACCAAATGCCTAAGCATCAAATATAACCTTATTTTTGCTGTAAAAAATCTATCAAAATTATCAAAATTCAAGTTGAAGCATATGGCAAGTCCCAATTCTACAAATATCCCACTTATTTTTGCTTTTTCTCATTAAAATTTATTGGTAATAATTTGCAGAGACAGCAATACACCACAGAAGCCACATTTGACATTATGCTTGATCTTGATATCTTGAGGTGTGGTTGTTATGTTATCCAACACAGGCTTTCTCCATCAAAAACAGGATAATCAAGCCATAATCAAGCTTCTCACAACTCTTTCTTGACAGTAATGGTTATTAAATCTTTTAAATAAGTTGAAGTGGATTACACTGATGGTATCATTCATGTATCTATCACTTGACCAAATGGCAAAATGATGACCTACATATACTATATATAGGGCTTTGATGCTGCTTTATCCAATAAGGGATACCAAACAATACTTACCTTTTGTTTTTCAGCAATGATATACCGATGATACAAAAAAACATTAAACCAATTATCCAAAGCTCTTTCTAGACTGAATTTCCATTAGATTTCATTAGAGATATTCATGCAAATACTTACATACATGCAAAACAATACACAATGATGTACTTCCTCTATGGAGGAGCTGTACTGTATGAGGGAGAATAGTTACAATGTATGCAGGAATGCTATGTGCAAAATATACGGTGCAGGCATGCTACTGTACATGTGAACATCTTTGGAAACTATTTTAACAGACAAAAGGAATTAGGAGGAATTAAAAAAACAATAGACTCTAATCAATATTCTAAAACGTATTTATTCATAGAAAATACGTACTATGGCAAGTGCATGATTATGTGCACAGTTAGATATGTATAATAATATCTACAAGGGCAGGCATCTGTAAATATACATGCAAATCACTCATTCAGTAAAGATAGAATAACATCATTTTTTACCTCATAACCCGATAACTGCGACACACATCACATGATGCCCAGTGTGTAGCTGCTGCATACATCATAATGAGTTTTTCTTTTGTTTTTTATTGTTATACATTGCTTCTACACAAAACAGAAGCAAACAGTGGATGATTCAAACAACAACAATGTTGAACAAAATATGGTGAAGTCAAAATAGTTATAATGGAGCAAAATTTACTGCTACACATGACAGGACTAGCAACCTCCCCATTACACTGCGCACTAAATAATAAATAAGACAATATAACTGCATAATTACTGGGTTAATAAGGTGTTTTAACAAAACATTTTGCAAAAAAATGCAATCAATGATTTGGGCAAAATTATAAATTTTCAACTCAACAAGGAACTCAAAAATACAAAATAATAAGAATCACCTATAATGTGAACTTACAAGCCAAACTACTTACCTAAATATCACAACTACTCACAAGAATGTGTATCACAGAGAAACTACTTGTAAAACAGAAAAGGAGGCACTAAAGATACATTTCATTTTCATTTATAAACGGTACGTGAACCATCATCCCCACCAGTTAAGAAATACAATACCATGACAGTATAATATTCCACAGACCTGTCTTGCCAGGACCAGAGGGGGAGGCTTGACGACGGGCCTTGAGAATGACACGCGCCCGTTGGTGGGAGCATGGTGGCTTTGTCCGTGGTGGTGGCTTAGGCTGTGATGGTGGTGGTGATGAGCTGACTTATACTGAGGGTTGTGAATGGGAGGGGGAGGAGGTGGGGTTGGGGCATTGGGGTGGGAGGGTGGAACACTCTGCGGTGAGTGGTGCAAGGGCGATGAGCTGGATGCCGGAGAGTGATGGGCATTTGGCATATTTGAAGTGTTACAGTGGGAAGGAGGTACACTTAGGGGATGATGGTGGAGGCCTTGCTGTGTAGGTGGATGAGAGTGATTACCTTGAGGATGAGGAGGGAGAATACTTGTCAAGGGTGTGGGAGGAGGAGCTGGTGGCGGTGTTGAAGTATTCCTCAAGGTATGAGCTGAGTGCATGTGTGTGGGAGAATATGTAGGTGGAGTGCTGGCAGGAGAATGAGTGGGAGGTGGAATGTGCATGGGGCCTAAATGATTGGCTCCAGTGTTCTGCTGGTGCTGAAGGTGTGGGTGCATATGTAAGTGTGTGTGTGAATGTGGGTGTGGGTGAGGGTGTGTGTGAGGGTGTGGATGTTGGTGAGGATGTGGAGGTGGAGGTGGAGGAGGGTGTTGGTGTGGGTGTGTGTGTGTGTATTGATGTGGATGTGTATGCTGATGATGCTGAACTTGTTGCTGTTGTTGGTGATGTTGGTGTTGCTGCATGTGGTTGTGGTTGTGGTTGTGGTTGTGGTTGGGATGGTGGTGGTGGTGGCCCTGAAATGGGGGATGGAGGAAGGAAGATGCCAACTGTTGCGGGTGTTGTGGATGTGTGTAGGGGCCTCCTTGTGGTACATGAACATGCAATGTTTGAAGTGCTGATGGTGTGGTATTGGGATGAAAATTATTCTGGTGAGGGACTTGCTGTGAAAGAGAAAGGGTGGGAGGAGGTGGAGGATTTGAAAATGGTGCAGCTTGGGCAAGGAGTGGTTGAAAGTGCTGCGGATTTGAAAAGTGAGATGTTGATGTAATGGGTGCTACAACCATCTGACAGAATGCAGTGACAATGTTGCTTCCTCCACCACCACCACCACCACCATGACCACCACCAGTCCCACAATTGCTACTGTTGTTGTTGTTGCTGTTGTGGATATTATTGTTGTTGTTGTTGTTGTTGTTGTTGATGTTGTGACCATACAGAGGGGGCCGCACATACAGGTACTAAAAGCAGGTGTAAATCAATAGAACAGGATGATCAAAGAGAATATACACATGACTTCATCACATGCCAAATATTACAAAAATCTTGGCTGCCAATCACATCCAGTGGATCACATTCCAGACAGGGGAAGAGTAAAGCCTGCATATAGCTACGTAAATCACATCTTATTCAAAAGATAGCTCCAAGGTACTATAGTTATAAAAATCATAAATAAAATGATATCCATAGTACATAGTGCACATCATCAATAACAAGTGCTATTGGCTGAATTCCACACAAGCAAAAGATAAAAGAGAGGTAGAAGAAAACTCATAAACTACAAATTCACATGCATAAGAATAAGGGAACTTTAAACATAGCTCGTTCTTAAATTGGTTTACTCTTTCAGCTCTTGTGATATTGTTAGTACTCACAAGGTGTAAATAAAAAAAATATATATATAGCTATATGTGTATGTGTGTGTGCGTGTGCGTGTGTGTGTGTGTGTGTGTGTGTGTGTGTGGTGTGGTGTGTGTGTGTGTGTGTACGTGTGTGTGTACGTGTGTGTGTTGTGTGTGTGTGTGTGTGTGTGTGTGTGTGTGTGTGTGTGTGTGTGTGTGTGTGTGTGTGTGTGTGTGTGTGTGTGTGCGTGTGTGCGTGTGTGTGTGTCGTGTGTGTGTTGGTGTGTGTGTGTGGTGTGTGTGTACGTGTGTGTTGTTGTGTGTGTGTGTGTGTGTGTGTGTGTTGTGTGTGTGTTGTATTGTAAGTGTGTGTGTGTGTGTGTGTGTGTTGTGTGTAAGTGTGTGTGTGTGTGGGTGTGTGTGTGTGTGTGTGTGAGTGTGGTGTGTGTGTGTGTGTGTGTGTGTGTGTGTGTGTGGTGTGTGGTGTGTGTGTGTGTAATGTGTGTGTGTGTGTGTACGTGTGTGTGTGTGTGGCGTGTTGTGTGTACGTGTGTGTGTGTGTGTGTGTGTGTGTGTGTGTGTGTGTTAAGTAATAATGTGTGTGTGTTGTGTGAATTGTGGTGTGTGCGTGTTTGTGTAATGTGTGTGTGTAAGTGTGTGTGTTGTATGTGTGGTGTGTGTGTGTATTGTGTTGGTTACGTGGTGTGCGTGTGTGATGTCTTATTGTGTGGCGTGTGTGTGTGCGTGTGTTGCGTGTGTGTGTGTGTTGTGTAGTGAGTGTGTGTGTGTGTGTGGCTTCAGTGTATCGTGTGTGTTGTGTGATATT